ATGGTTGTGAAGCACGCAAAATAAAGGATGTGAGAACACTGAAAAAAAAGTGAAAAGTGCTGTAAGCGTAAAAGCATTATTAGCCTTAGCATATAAAATCTCCTTTTGGTGAGATTGTACAGAGATCATATATGCTTCATCTGAGATCTGGCTGCTTGAAATTTGTGGCTGAAATCATTAACGGTCTACACCAGTCCCCGTCACAGCATCATTTAAGTAAAATGAGGTCTTTAGAACCCCAGCTGTAGATGCGACAATGACTGACTCAACAACAGGCCATTAGAAGCTTCACTTCCCTTTCCTACCCCAGTACGATTCCTTCAAATCACAAAACAAAATGGAAATTTACCTTCAGCCTACGGATTTGAATATCTGAGAACTTCCTCACTCCATTGACTGAAGGCACCAAACAATTAAAGAGAGCCTTGAAGAAAAGAAGAAATAGGTCTTTTAAAGGCAAAAGCATCATCTTATGCATATTATCACCACCAAGAGCCATATAAACAATACTTCAAATTCAGGTGATCTTTAGTTTTATTTTCTAAATATTCTACCGTACCTTGTCTGTCTGTGTCAGTTCGTGGAATATGTGGGCATCGATAGCAGCAGCAACCAAATTATTAGCTGCAGTAATGGCATGGATGTCACCAGTGAGATGGAGGTTGAACTAAAAAAAAAAATTTTTTTTCTTCACATCAATTTTCCAACTTCCCATTATTTCTAAACACGCAGTCTGTGGCAACTGAACCAACTACTATGCTAAAGTCAGTAGAATAGTAACAGATCATAGTTACTGGGAAAATACTCCATACAACTTGTGAAAATGAAAAAAAAAAATTACCAATAATCTACCCACATAAAGAACCCCTCCCAAACATGGTCAATGTGGCATTTCCTAAATAACATGGTCCAGAACTCAGAAAAGACATTTGCTGTTAGGGTAAGCTACAGGAACATTTAAAAAATTCAACTGTATTTGTCTTTCATGTCCCATAAGTGAGTAATAAAGTTCTGTTGTTAGCATTTCACTAGGTAGTTATATTTCAACACAACTCATGTATATTTAAGAACTAGTTTACTCTTTGCTTGAGACACAACATTTTAAAATTCTCTGAGTGTTGATATCTTCTTATATTTTATAAATATATATAAAGGTCTCCTTCCCAATCTCATGATCCAGTTCATTCACTGGCTTAGAAACTTTTAAAAATTAATGTTTAGGCAAAAGACATCCTTAACCCTTAAAGGCCACGCATATGAATGAAATAAGTTTGCAACAAGTTGACAAATTAAGAAGTGTTTCCTTTCAAGAAGTTTTGCTGAGTAGCAAATTGCTCACATACTAACAGAAAGAGATTACCTGCCAAATAAAAAAGCTTCAGTTTTAGAAAACCAAGAAAAATGAAAATTACCTCTTCCATTGGAACAACCTGAGAATAGCCCCCTCCTGCAGCTCCACCTAGAAGTCAGGTCAAAAATAAGCGTATCTAATCAGCAGCTATACTGAAATTTCTCTTAAAAATTAAAAAAAAAAAAAAAGAAGAAGAAATTGAAACTTCTTATCAATTAAGACAGCTGGCTATATATTTTTGGCAATGATTTGGACAAATCTGTTCATGATTATATCTGCTTTCCATTTATGAATATTAAAATAAAGCCCTTTATCTTTATAAAAAGTAAAAATAATATTAGCATTGGAAATACGTTCCCCAATGGCACCAATTTTGAGAAAAAACTAAATAAGCCCTAATAAAAAAATCAAGCATTCAGTTAAGAGTTCCTTAATTATTTGGTCCTCAGTTTCTTCAATTGTAAAATTAGTATCTTAGAGTAGATGTTCTCCAAGTTCCCTTTTAGTGCTAATATTCTTCAATTAGATTAAACAATTCCACAAGAAAATGAACTAATGTTTTTTTTCCCCTTAAAAAGGAACTGGTATGAAGTAAAGACAGCAGAACTTACAAAAAGAAAATTCATTCAAAAATACAAGGGCAAATGGACAGAGACAATGGAAGAAGATCCCTTCCACTGGGAAGGAATAATCATTAAGCTGTCAGGGCCAAATGCTTGCTGAAGAAATTTTTAAAAATATAAAGGAGACAAGGAATTATATAAAAGATTTGGAAAGTCATTCACTCAAAGTGGTTAAAATTTTAAAAATAGTAGTATCACAAATGCCATAATGATGTTGGAAAGGGATACAGAAACATAGAGAAAACACCTCTCTAAATATGCTGACATAGGAAGCTCTTTCATGAAATGTTACTACTGCTATATTTTTGCTTAGATCCAAAGGTCTCTCAGTTGTAAACATGGATCAATAAGAAAGACAAACTATTGTGACATACTAAGGATTTAGCCTAAGAAGGGATATCTGAGCTAGAGCAGTCATTAATCACTGAAAAGATGACAAATGAGTCTGAGAAATCAAATAGGAAGGTGCAAGGCTTAAAAAGAAGAGAACAAAATTTTCTAGTTATGTTAGCTGATGCTTTTAAGGAAAGGTTAAGATGAGGTAAAGGCAGAATTGAAAGGTAAATAAACTAATAAAAAATGTTTAAGAGATGAAGCTAAGAAGAGCATTGAGTAGTGTTAATGAGAATTGCTACATTAAACAGATTGTCATACAAGCAAAGATAAATTATATTAGTAATTAACAAGAGTTGTATTAGAAGCCAATTAAAAGCTGAAAGTAAAAGGTTCTGCTCTTATAATTATAATTGGAAGTATATGGCAATTATGTTGAGAGAAGTTTTTAAGAAAAGTGTACAAATCCTGCTTAGAGCTCATTTTCATTCATTAGAGATAAGTAACAACTAACTAAGACAGAAGGATGTAGTAGAAAGATAAATGGACTTGGGACTGGGGGACCACAGTTCAAATGACTGTTCGGATACTTTTAACCATTTGACCATGGACAAATGCCTGAATTTCAGTTTCCTTATCTATAAAATGGAGAAAATAATATTACCCATCTCACACAAGTGCAATTAGGAAAGTATTTTGTAACACCTCAGTTACACATAGGTATATAAAATGAGTGTCATGTCGTTGAGCAATAAGTTATCACTTCCTATAAACAGAATTCCAGAGGATCCTTTTGTAGTACTGACCGCAACAGCAGGCAAGGAATAGGACTAATCCTGTTAAAGATCTGACAAGAACCCTCACCCAAACTACATCTGGAGCAGGTTAATAATCATACTACATTGGAACTCCTATAACCATCAGAAGATACCTGGCCTAGCCAGAATCTAAGCGTTCTACTGCAGGGAACAAAAATCCAATCAAATGAAATGAGAAGGTTCTCACTGACCATAGGATCAAAGACCAACGAATACCTTTTATTCCAAAGGTTGGGCCCTGAGATGGTTGTCAAACACAAGCAAAAACATTCTGGTGAAGATGTGCTCCCAGAGCTTGAACCAGCCCTAGTGTGGTTGTACTCTTTCCTTCTCCCAGAGGTGTAGGGGTTATTCTTTAATATAAAAGTGAAAAAACGAGGAAAAAAAAAACCAACAACAAAAGAAATCAATTTATTTACAGTACTTGGATTTCATTGAATTTTTTACTGAAACTTTAATAATTGTTTTGGTACAAGAAATACGGAATAAAAGGTGTAAAGAATAAAACCGACACAGAGACCTTACCCCACTGTCATCATGAAATAATTCCACCATTTAAAAAAAATCTGAGAAAGAAATGCCTAAGATGGCATCATTTCCATTTTCCATTTAGGGATCTGATACAGTTCCTAAAACTATGAAACTAAATCAATGTCCTACTTTGCTTCCACCCTTCACTAAGTAGCCACTACACTATTTGGGGACAACAGAAACCACAGTCATTGGTCTATCTGTTAGTACAGGAAATTGGTTGAGCCTCAAATTAGATAAAGATCACCATTTTTCCATTTAACCTCTATGTTCCTCTTACTAAAGTAGAATGGAAAAAGCATTGAACTGAAGTTGAGAAACCTACATTCTAGTCCCCACTTCATCTCCTTAGAGATAGTTCACTATCTATAAAATGAGGGCAGACGAATTAACTTGAAAAATAAACCATCTCTTCCTCCATGTCATAGGAGGCTAGGAAATCTGTATGCATTAGAAATGGTAGCAAGAACTATTAGAAACATACCCCAAAGAGATAAGAAATGAAGGAAAAGATTGTTTGTGTGTACAAAAAATATTTAGAGCATCAATTTGAAAACAAAGCCGGGACCTATTAACTGGGAGCTGTACAAATTCTCATGTATGAGTGTAACAGAATATTACTGAGTTGTAAAAAATGACAAGAGGGGCTGATTAAGAGAAATCTGGGAAGATCTGTATGAACTAATGTTGAATGCAGTGAGCAGAACCAGAACAATTTTGACAATGACTATGACAATGTAAAGGACAACAGCTTTGAAAGTTTTAAGGACTCTGAACAACATAAAAATCAATAATGACTCCAAAAGACTGATTATCAAACATGCTTTTTAACTTCTGGCACAGAAGTAATGGATTGTAGGTGAAGAATGAAGCTTATATTTTCAGACATGATTGACGTGTAAATTTCTTTTGCTCATAGTATTTTTTTTACAATGGAAGGGCTTTCATTTGGGAGTGGCAGGGGAGATGCAGGGAAGAGCCGGGAAGAATAAGAATGCTATTAAAACAGAAAAAAAAGGAGTCAATGAAATGTTCATATATGTTGATATTCTACAAAGTTCATAAAAAAAAAGAGGAAAAAATCTATAGTTTGATTTTGAGTTATCAATCAACTTGGTAACATGTATCAGAAAAACATACCCCGTTACGACCACATATTTTCCATCAGGCTGGTGTTTCAGGAGTTCTAAGGTAGACAGCAGAACCTTGGCTTTTGTCTGACCATACATTTCCACTTCTTCAGAGAGCAAGCCAATTTCTTTAGCCAGGTAACCAATGGGCTTTGCTGTGCAAGAACGTGATATTTCAATGTCACTTTAAAGAAATGTGGAGGAAATTTTATGTGGTGCTTCATTCAGTCAATTTAATAATAGACTTCCCCTCAGAGTAAGCTGCTTCTAGAAATACCATACACATATACTAATTACATAATTCAGGATAGGTGGTTCTAATGTCAGCAGTAAAATTACCTTGGAACAGGGGTCTTGAGGCTAAGATGGTTATACTGGATGTTCCATTTTCCTGGTGTACATTTCTCTAGGAAATGCTTTGCACTTTCTACTGTGCTCTAAATAAAAACATACACA